CCGACTGAAGCAATGGCAATGGATACGTCAAATACAGCAGATATTTTGGCAGGGTGGATGATATCGTCCTAGCCATACAAGAGAACCTGCCTCCAACCCACTGGTGGCTGGGTCGAATGACAACAGTACATCCCGGAGCTGATGGTGTGGTCCGCAATGTCACTGTGAAAACCGCTAGAGGATACATGAAACGAGCCATCCAGAAACTATGTCTGTTGCTTGAGAAGGAGGATTTCGAGTCGACCGACTCGCGCGGGGAGGATGTTTCGGATTATTTACATTAATTAAGTTTATTTTCTAAATAATGTTAAGTCTGATCTGGCAATACTGTTTTATCTAAGCTTTCTACTTCTGATATCTCTTTATCATTCATTTCTGTTTGTTAATATTTCAAAGTTCCTTTGTACTCCTATAAATACCGGAGGACAAGTAAGTACAGCCCCTTCTACTCTAATTGTAACTCAGTGCTGATGGTACTCATCTCAATAAAGCATTGAGAACTCTACCCCCTGGTAAAATAAAATTAATTATTTAACAGTTATCTAATCCCCGTTAGGGTGGTAAGGGTCATTTACGATTTCTACGAAAACATCCTAGCAGGAACTGCTTGGAGAATAGTTCATTATCTTCCTTAACTCGATAGGAGACGTCAAGAGGCATCCCGTCGTGGTCCGGAGTGCTGTATTCTGGCAGGTCTGGAGTTTCCTCATCTGCCACTGCATCCAGGCGACCATATGGGTGCTGCGTAGCTAAGGACCAGCCGGCCGATTGCCTTGTAAGTTGCCAACAACGTTTCTTTGTCTTTTCCCCATGTGCTGCCGACTAGCGACTTGAGGATTTTGTTGCGGCTCTGTACTTTGGCGATAATCGCGGTCGTATCGGGTGAGAAGGAGCATAGACTGTCGAAGGTGACACCTAAAATCTTAGGGGTATTGACAGCCGGAATTTTGACGCCGTCGACTGTAATATTAAGTTCAAGTCTATACTTCTTCGTCCAGTTCGTGAATATGGTCGCTGTGGATTTGGTGGGGGAAAGTATGAGGTTTCGTGCAGTGAGGAAACGAGAAAGGTCGGTGAGGTAGTTGTTTATCTTCGAACACATGCCATCGTTTCCATTGCCCGACATCAATATCGTACAGTCATCAGCGTACGAGGTTATGGAAATCCCCTCGGGTGGTTGCGGGAGTTCCGAGATGTAGAAGTTAAACAGTAGCGGGGAGAGGACACCACCCTGCGGAACCCCCTGTTTAATTCTTCTCAGTTTGGATATTTCACCTCGAAATAGTACGGATGACTGACGACCGCTCAGATAATTCATGGTCCACTTCTTTAGCCCTGGAGCTATTTTTTCGATGTTCTGCAGAAGCGTTGTGTGGTTGACTGTGTCAAAAGCTTTTGACAAGTCCAACGCTACGAGGATCGTTCTCTCACGTTGAAGCCACGAACTATCTGAGCGTTTATGACGCTAAGTGCTGTGGTGGTGCTGTGCAATTTTCGGAATCCATGCTGGTGACTGGCTAAGCTCAGGAGGTCAGTGAAAGTCGGGAGTAGCAAGGCCTCAAGTGTCTTCACTACTGAGGAGAGGAGGGTTATCGGTTATCGGAGTTAACACATCTCTTGGCTTTGTCTACCGAAGGGTGCAGTGTAAGCTACCGGCTAAAATAGCTCGCGCACTTCTTCGGTTCCGAGGAGGCATGATCATTGAATTGAACTTCAACTCGGTCGTCATGTCTCTTCGGATTAGACAAAGCTTTGACAGTAGCCCAAAGCTTACTCACACCGGTGGAGAGGTTGCAGAACCTCAGATCATCTATCCATTTCGTACGTTTGTGGTGGTTTACCATACGCCGAATCTCCAAATCTCCAGCTTCGGCTGGGAAATTGACGTTCGCCAACGCATACGACCGTAAATTCTGTGAAGCTGACCCAATTAGCTTTTTTAAAAATAATGTAGTCCACAATGTAAATGGTTGTCCACAGAAACGAAATCAGGAGGCTTATTGATCGAGATAATTATGGGCGGATGGTCTGATTAGCATAGGTCGCCAGGTTATGTTATTTATCAGACCACCGCTAGCAATAGTAATATCAGGCGAGATATTACAGGTGCCCATAATTCTGTACAAGACGGTTCTCACCACGAAGTAGTGCACCTATATTCGGGCGATATCCTTCAGGGTAACATGTAACTGGGGGGATGTATATATTAAATATTTCGAGCTCGACATCGCCTGACCGCATAGCTATGCCCTGACATTCTAGGGTAGTATCTCTGCGGTCGATGTCCTCATCGATTAGACGATACTGCACGGAGTTGTGCAATATGAAGGCTAGGCCGCTACCATTATCTCGCTCGCGATCTTTACGTAAAACGTTGAAACCGGCACAATTCAGAAGATCTGAGCGCCTGTTTAACTTGGTTTCTTGGACCGCAGCTATCACGTTCCCGATTCATAAGTGCAACTATCTCCTCGATGTTGCTCTGGAGTCCGTTGCAGTTAAATTGGAGTACTCAGGTTTGTCGCCGATGTCCGTGAGTGATCCTGGGGTTGAGGGAGTGAGTGTAGGTGGTGATTGTTGCAGCTGCAGAACCCGCAGGGGCGGTTGTCGCTCTGGGGTGTTTGTTGGCGACGCCACAGTAGTGTATGGTACCACGTAAGATGGCTCCATACATTGCATGTATTGCACTTGACTGGGGTGGAGTTTGGGTGGAGCCTTTTTGCGCATACACAGCAGAAAAATTCCTCCGGGCCCGGGTTGGACTCAATGCCAGCACGAGTCAGGAGGATACAGAGCAACCCTGCTGCAAAGCGTTGCTCTAATAACGACAAACACGAATTAGTACTCACCGATCCAAAAATCGCAGAAAACACAGCCCTTAGTCGGATAAAAGCCGAGTCAATTCCGGTACGTGGAACCGGCTGTCGCGGGAATTGCCTCGGGCGATTCTCTTATGCTGTCGCCCATTACGTTCATATGAGCAATTTGTGTTGCGCAACTCTGTTCGAGTTTTTTTCTCAATATCTTTTATATCATTTTCTCAATTTTTTGTGCTGTACGGCTACGCTATACTTAATGCCTGTTGCGTTGTTATTTGGATACTGAAGCGTGAGGATGTTAATTTACAGTGTTTATGAAATTTTAAAAAGTGGTGAGTTGAATAAATTTATTTTTAAATTTTCTGTTTATTAATAATATTATATAAAAAGTAAAGTGGACACAAGGGCTAATTGAAAAATTAATATATTTGGTAGAAGCGCAGGAGTGTATTTATAGCATAAAGTCACCGTTATATTTGAACCGGAATGTTTTCTTATAGGTATTTGGGCCACTTATCACATATATTAATCAGTTCTGTGAATTAAGAAATACATTTTATTTATAATTCAAAATCAAAACAAATATTATACAACACACCTTCACATACATATATCACTATCGTCTGAATCAATTTGTATGGCTTCCTTTATACATTTCACAATGTCTTTAATTAATTAGATTTTTTTGTCATACTCCATTTTCTAAAATATTTATATTATAATATGTATATTTGTGTACATATTTGCAAATTACTTACCAAAAGATGAAATTAAATATTTTAAATATATAAAAAATATTAATTTCAAAAAAACATACGCAAATGCAACAATGTATTACGAAAGAAAGAACACGAATGCCGAAAAACGTCGCAGCGAACTGTTACGAATAAGAAAACAAAGCGTGTTGCTGAACACTGAAAACTCGCCGCGATTCCACTCTCCTCGTCGCCCCCTCGCCTTTAAACCAAGACTTGCCGCAACAAGAGTTGACGCTTTTAATAACAGACATTGAGCGCGACAGACTGCAGTCGACATCTGTCAAATATTAAAATACACCCGTTCTTATGGGCACAATTATGTAGTTGTGCAGCTGCCTCAATACAGAGGCGTAGAAAAATAAATCTACGTTCTCTCAGGCTACTTATAGAGTGTTACATTTTACAGGGAAAATAAAAAAAATATTGGGTAATCTAGCCTGTTTTTTGACATTTTTTTCATAGAAATATCTATTCTACAATAGAACTTTTTCACTTATCATGAGGAATATCGTAGAGTGTATAAACCATGTTAGGGAGAATGAGATGCGTTTTTTTCACTGGCGAACACAATTTCTTATGTTTTGATCATCTGAAACACAAAAACCCAATTTATTCTTAAAAAGTACGTGAATCATGAGAAATTTGATAAATAAAAAAGTAATTGACGTTTATTTTTTTTAATTTTTTCATAATTTAAAATTATGAATCTAGTAGGGACGATAGCCAGGCGTTTTGTGAACAATTAAAAAATAATAAGCAAATCAGTTGAGTAGTTCGACTGGAATCATGTCCGCCAGTTTAAAAAGTGTGTTTTGAGAAAAACGTGTTTAAAGTGCCAGGTGTGCACTCCGAGCGCCCCGAACGTCGAGCGGTATTATTTTTTTTGGGAATTTTCCGAAACCTTCCAATGGTAAAGTGGATTTCTACATTAATTCTAATGGTGAAAGAGAAAGAAAGAGAACAAAAAAAAAAAAAGATGACCCCTTATTATGTTTCATTTGCTTTTAAACGTCAGAGAAATTTTAATTTGATTAAATATTACCACGTTGGAAAAAATATATTCAAACCCTGCAAAAAATTGTGCGACTAATCTCTAAAGAGAGTATTCCGGGACTAGTCTCGATGTGGAACAATTGAGTATTAATTAGTCGCAACTAGTCTCAAACGKKTATAAYTGGAGATCAATTAGTCTCAATTAATCCCTATCGGGTACTATTGGGAAAAAAGTTAGAATTTTGGCAAAAATACATTCATAAATTTCAAAGCAAAGTTACTGAATTTCCTTCCATTCAATTGTCATAACCTATTACATTAAAAAAAAAACCATAAGTAATGAATTTCGTACATGTCTTTGCACTAGCAAGAGGCGGTGTACAAAAACATTGAAACTTTTTACAAACTGAAAAATTTTTATAAGAAATTGTAATCAGAACGAAAGATAATTGAACTATCTCCATTTTCATATGCGTTAACATTGTATATTTTTAAACATGCTTATAAAACAAAGCCCATGCTAACAACATTTTGTATTTCGACATGTACTTTTGACTTGCATAAAACAATAAATATAGCCTTGAAGCATTTACAAAATAAATGAATTTTTTTTAATTCATTATGGATTAAAAGATAATTAAACTATCTTTCTTTTAGTATACATTAACATWAAYAATTTCCAAACATTTTTATGAAAAATAGCTTTTTCTAACAGAATTTTATATTTCAATCATGTACGTATTTGACTTAAGAGCGGCATTCAAATGTAGGCTTCCATGATGATACTTGGTTTTTAATAAAATCTGGATCTGTAAAAGCATTGATAATAGATTCAAGAGCAACAATATAATCCACCAATAAATGCTTACTTAAAAAAACCAACATACCTTATTATCAAATCCCCTGCAGAACGTTCCAGACTCTGATGAAATCCGAATGTGCGGTTGTTCGCACTTATATCAAAAAAATCCCAAAGCGCTAGCAAACGCAGGAGACAAAATTCTAAAATGTGTCTAATAACTAAAAAGTTGAATGAACATTTTTTTGCAAGAAACAATTTTTTGATTGTAAATTTTGGCAAGTAATGACACTTCAAAAACAACAACAGCAAAATAATACAATAAGTACAGTAATATTTCTAAAAATTTTGTTTATTTTTAACTTTACTTTAATAAAAAAGAAATATTTTTAAAATTGTAATAAAAATAAACTTAGTGATCTGTGCCTGTAATTAAAGTTCTTTAAAAAACTTTTCTTATAAATTAAAAATAAATTAAATATTAGTAAGTAAACCTGAATATAAAATTTATGTTACCATTACCATAATTTTATCTTTCGAGCTCAATTCAAAATGCTTTTTAAACTACCTACTACCCAATCTGCATCTATTAAATGTATTTTTAAATGTCTAAATATGTTCATCGTTTTTATTATAAAATAGTTATATTTTGACTTTTACACAATTATAATCCAGTCATCAGCTTGATCCAAATACGTACAGCGGAATAAGACAAACGAGTATAAATGCCTGGATAGTGGGGATCTGCGCAACCAACTCCCCAACTAACTACACCGATTAAAATGTTACTACTTTGTATTGGACCACCGCTATCTCCTTGACAGGCATCCGTGTTTCTAGCTGCCGCACAGAACATTCTAAGAAGAAACACATATGTATTAATCATATTAGTCTAATAACTAAACTCCAGCTAGTATTAATTCAATATTAAAATAAAAACACAAATCCAAAATCATACACACATACGTGATATAACATTGGAAAAATAGTATATGCTGTTTTCTTTGAGAATTGAGAAAGACATTTCTTTATGTTTAAGGAGATTTTTCCTATCACATTTTTCATTACCTTAAAACGTAAAAACGATTGTCATATGCATGGTGAACAGAAAAGCTACATTTATAATTTGTTTAAAGATTAGAGTTTTTAAATATAAAAATTATACTTAGTTAATATACTTTAAATACGTTACTTACGCTTCGGTGACAATTCCTTGTGATTTCATTAATTCGGAACATTTCTGTTGATTTACTATTTTAACGCTTGTATACTTTAAGAGCTCCGACAAAACATGCTCCGATGAACTCATATGTCCCCATCCACTAACCACCGCTTCCTTGTTATCCATAATCAGTGTATTTTGGGAAGGTAATTTTATGGGATGTACGAATTTGCCACGTAGACGATTTTTTTGTGTTCGTAGTAGCGCCACATCAAAATTCATTGTGCCACTATTGTACAAAGGATGTTTATATATCTTCGATATCGACACAACTTCCCCGCCTGCACCCCGATTTGAGCTACCGATGCGTAAAGAATATACTCTCGGTTGCTTTTCAAAAGCTTCTATGCAATGTGCGGCCGTTACTACCCAATCTGCATCTATGACCGAACCGCCACAAACATGAATTGAATAACGGCGCAATGAAACCTAAATATATACATATGTATGTACATTTTTAGGCGATGCTGAATTTTGGACAAAATATTTGAAAGTAATAGTTACTTGATATGGAAAATCTTCAATGCGTCCTTCTTTTCCGTTTACAATGCGTATTTGAGCGGAAGTGTGTGTAAGTATAGTGCTAAATAAAAGCAGTATTGATAACATTTTTTGAAACTTTTTGGCTAGCATCCTCTTCTGTTCGATAGTTCAATAAAAGTGTTGTTTAAAATAAAAATTATTCGCACATTGAAATCAAATTTATCAATGATTACACGTTCTTCGTAATGTCTTACATGTATTGATAGTGACTGTTAAGAAAGAGATATGAATTTGTGATTCTATAATATGCAGACATCTTTCATTCTGATAAGAAGCTGGGTGAATTCAATGAAGAAGTAAAATATTTGTCATTCCAATTTCAGTAAAATTTGACAATATTTAATTGAAGGTACTAAAAATGAGACGAGGTGTAGGAGTATAATATTACTTTAATCTCTTAATTTATTTCACAGTACTGTATAATAAGATTCCTTAATTTATACTTCTAAAAGTTTCAAACTCCCGAACAATATTTAAACGAATGAATTTGCTCTTGTTTACGTCTAATAACACATACATTCCTAAATATATAATATAATTTTTTGAATTTACATACAATAAGGAATATGCATTTTTTACCATTAGAAATCTATTCCCATATAACCATACGATCGATGATAACTATATATAAATTTATATTCCAATTAATTTATATTATATTTTTTAATCCAAAAAAATAAACATTTTATTAATATGGAATGCTCCGACTTAATTTTTCACATATAAGAATATAAAAATATTTTTGTCGTTATGCTTTATTAGTTTTATATATAATATATTATGATCAATAGCTGCTATATTCTACAGATTTTCTAAAGGTTAAAGTAACAGCTGTTTATCAGCATTGATAAGGCTTTCAATTAACAGATTGTCACTCTCTGACGTTTTGTCTCTACACATTTCACATAACTTCAATACATTTTATTCAAAATTTCTATAATGTTTTACAAAAAACTTTTGGCGGAAATTTTTGCAAAATTTTATACCGGTTTTTGTTGAATTATGCCACCGAGTAAACTCGACAGCATTTACCGTCGTATGTTGATCACGCGGTTTTTTGAAAAAGGATGGGGAACACCAGAAAATTTACAAAGGTATGCCTATCTTTATATAAGATTAGTAGCATGTGTAAATTTGTACCTACATATATTCTTATTGGTATTCTAATGTTAATTGTTAAACGCCAAAAATATAATTTAAGTAAGTGAAGTACTTTTCATTGAATAACATAATATTTCAGTGACCAAAATCGTGCGCCTACTTTACAAATTTTTTAAATTGGTTCGTTAGTTTCTCAATAATAAAGAGAAGTTTTATCGCCACTAAATTATATGAATCCATTATTTCATTTGATTTGTCGAATTTGTTTAAAAAACATTTTTCCTATCATAATCGATTTTAATGGTTAACTTACTAATGTTCAAGGATCGAGATGACGGGCATAATTTTTTTCAGGAAACAAATATAACTATAGGCATCATACTACTAAAATCAATTTAGTTTTTTTATGTTTTATTTACATTTTTAGGCTATTCGAGTTTCGTAAAATCATTTCACGGCGAGAGACGTGTTATAAATTAATACCTCAAGATTATCCGGTAGAAATTACTAGAAATAATAAATATTCTGATTGCTCCATATTGGAGGGAAAATTTATTTCGCCTTTGGAACTACATTTGCCCGGTGTAGTGCCAAAAGCTGCACAAGATGCTCATTTTCAAGTAATATTGCCCAAAAAATGGAGAGAAGAAAAATTCAAGCCAATGTGTATTCACTTAGCTGGCACTGGAGACCACGTATGTATAGTTTTCGGTTCTTCTCAATTTGTAAGCTTATAAAAAGTTTTAAGACAATTAATAAACCCATATTGCTAAACAAAATTACTTTAACGAAACAAAATAACACCATGCTACTTTTTACACTGTAATATTAATTAAATATGTATATAATATAATATAACGCATTCTGGAAATTATGTGTCATAGTCTAAAATACTTTCACAAATTTCCGTTCACAAAAAAGCCAACAAAACAAAATTTCAAAAATATTAATGAACATAATAAAAAAATATAAAGTGTATATGTACATTCTATTGTTGCAGTTTTACTGGCGAAGAAGAAACTTTATTGCCAAACCTTTACTTAAGGATGCCAATATTGGAGCTATAATATTAGAAAATCCTTTTTATGGACTAAGGAAACCAGATCATCAAGTGTAATTAACATATTTACATAATTCGTTGTTAATATATCTACCGACTCATGTATGAACTTGTTCTACGCATTTTTAATCAAGACAAAATATATAATATATTAATCTTTTATTTTGAATTTTTTTGTTATTTTACATATTCTTAATTTTCAGTAGTTTTGCTATATGTTCTTATATGTCAGTTTTGCTTCTTGAACAGGCGCTCAAATTTACAAAACGTTTCCGATATATTCGTAATGGGTGGTTGCTTAATATTAGAATGTTTGGTACTGTTACATTGGTGCGAAAGGAATGGTCTTGGACCTCTAGGGATAACCGGGTTATCTATGGGAGGACATGTAATTTTTTACAATTTCAATTTAAATAAAAGCTTTACTTCTCATACTGATATTTTTTCTTTTAGATGGCTTCTCTAGCAGCGACGAATTGGCCTAAGCCTCTTGTGCTTGTTCCATGTCTTTCGTGGTCTACTGCTGCACCTGTATTTACTACAGTATGTATTGTAACCTTAAGCTGAAATATTTAACAGTTTCAATTTTTAAGGGAGTAATGAGTCAATCTATCAATTGGGACATGCTTGAAACTCAATACCATTCGGATGGTAAATACAGCGAACGATTATCAAAGATGGTTACAGTGGTAGATGATGCTTTTGCGGCTGGTCAGAAATTTATTAAAAACTTCAATCAATCTCTGCAAGCGCTTAAAAATGATATCAATGATAATAGACACGTTACAAATCAACCTTCTGATTCGCTTATCAATAATTACATAGAAGTTCAAAATAATCAAAATCAGTTAGAAATCAACAATTCGATTTTCCTCAAAGAAAACTTGGCGAGTCATATTAATAGCAATAAAAGTAGTTTTCAATTAATGAATAATGAAAAGTCGAACAAAGCACTGCAACGAGAAGATCAAAAGGAGCAATCAGCGTTAACAAAACTGATGAGATTCATATTACCTATGGCTGCACAAAGTGACAATAAGAAAATAGATATAACAAAAACAAATTGGTGGGAACGCGAAGCTTTACAATTCATGCGCGGTATGATGGACGAATGTACGCATTTGAAAAATTTTTCGGTGCCATTTGATACATCCTTAATAATAGCCGTTTGCGCTAAAGATGATGCCTATGTGCCACGTGAAGGTTGCGCTAGTCTTGAGGATATATGGCCGGGTGTGGAAGTGCGATACCTCGATGCTGGTCACGTGAGCGCCTACGTTTTGCATCAGAAACTATTCAGGTATATTATTTACGTTATGAAAAACATATAAATATTGCATTGACAACTAATAAATTACATACTTTTAGAAAATGTGTAATAGAAGCGTTCGAGAGGTCAAAGCAAATTTACACAATGGACGCCGGGAACATTGGTGAAGATTTGAAGCCAACATTAACTTATAAAGAGCTTGTTAATAAATATACAAATTCTATATAATTATTTAATTATGATAAACACATATTTTTTAACCAATTTACACAACCACAAATATACTGTTGACTAATTTTTATGACATTGTAATTTGCATTGCGTTTGACTGAAATTTTTCTGCTTAAGCGCTTTAACCGCAATATCTTAAAAGTTGTGAATTTTGTTTTAAATAAATTATACTTTCTTACTTCAAAATACATATATTTCTCTATTCTAACCTACATTTTTCGAGTATATTGTTAGTAAATATATATTTTTATAAACAGGCTTTTAAATAATAAAAAAAAAAACCTGCATACATACATCACAACAGTTGATGCAATAACGGTAACGACTAATAAGTGCTGCTGTCTAATGTCAGAACATGATTTTGGCTGCTTTCAATGAAACTAGAAGAAATTTTTTGTTAAATAAACCGCCGTGAATATTGCCAACCGATAACATAAGAGACGATATATAAATATATCGATATAATTGGGTCATGTTGTCAGCGGCTTGTGTAACCAGCGGAAGATGCCATTTTGTCAATCGAATAAGATCTGGAAAGAACACCATTGCGATACAGCAGAAAAGAATTGGGAGTGATTTTTTACCATCCATCACTCAAAATTAACAACAGAGTAGTTGAAAGAGTCCCTAACATCAACAAAAACACCAACAGATTAAAAAGCTAACAAAATATCGTGAATACAACATTTTAAGGAGAGAAAAATAAGTACATACGAGATTTTTGTAAGCTAGAAAATGGCAGACTCAGACAAACAGCTACCGATTGAGCAGCAGCAGCAACAACACCAGCAGGATATTGACGAAGGTGATGCTGTTCAGGCCCAATTGAAATCGCTGCCACCGAAGGAAGTCATTGGTAATTAGTAAAACATTTACATCTTTTTGTGAAGTGAAATACATATGTAAAGTGTAGAATTACAAGCGGAAAGAAAAACGGAGAATTACAAAACTTTTTTTTTGTTTTTATGTTTAAAGTACTATTTTAAAACTATAAATCGGTCATACTAATTACTTGTGTGCTATAAGGGAACAAATTTTCTAATGATATAAATGAAGAGCATGTAGCGGCGCTGAAAATAGAAATTTTTCACCTAAATACACACCCGACGCCATTTTGTTGGTGCAATGTGCGCGGTCGCCGGCGCGTAAAAGTTCTGTTCGTTTATTAACCGGTCACAGCTGCGTTTGGCTCAAACAACGTGGTTTATGGAAAATATAATTCAGCCAATAAACTTTATTTTTTATTTGATTTATTGTGTCTTTCTTTAGCTTTGTAACTATTTTTGTAATGTATGAACTGAAAAAAATAATTTTTTTTTTTTAGCAACCAAAGTAACTGGTACTGTAAAATGGTTCAATGTAAAGAGCGGTTATGGTTTCATCAATAGAAATGACACCAAAGAAGATGTGTTTGTTCATCAAAGCGCCATTGCAAGAAATAACCCGAAAAAAGCGGTGCGCTCAGTTGGCGATGGTGAAGTCGTCGAATTTGATGTTGTCATAGGAGAAAAAGGTAATGAAGCCGCCAATGTTACTGGTCCATCTGGTGAACCGGTACGTGGTAGTCAATTCGCCGCTGACAAACGCAGAAACTATCGCCCATGGAATAACCGCAATCGCCGCAAGCCTCAAGGTGGACAAGGACCAGACGGAAATGTTCAACAAGGTGTTGAAGGCGAAGTTAGATCTGACGGTCAACAGCAGCAACGTCCACAGCGTAACTACCGTCGTGGAGGTGGTCCAACCGGTGGCCCTGGTGGTCGTGGCGGTCGCGGTCGTCGTTTCAATAACTATTATCCACGAAATCAAGGTAGACGTTCAGGTGGCAGCGAAAGTGGATTGATCGAGGGCGGAAATGACCAGAACGCTGACTCCACACAAAGGGGCGGTGATGGTCAAGATTTGCCAGCGCGACGGCCACAAAGACGTTTCGTCCGGCGCAATTTCAATAATGGCGGAGGTAGACGTGGTCCACGCGATGATGGTAAATTGCCTTTTTCCTATTTTTTCTTATTGAATTTTATTAATTCGGTACGTTTTTACAGAAGTTTTCGGTAAATAGTACAACTGCCTCTTCATTTTATTTATGTCTGTCACAAATTTACATTACCTGGTATATTTTACAGGCAATGGTGGACAAGGACCTCCACGCAACAATCGTCCAAGACGAAACAGGAAACCCATCGGTGCTGGAGGTGGCTCTGGTGCCGAAGGTCAACATCAACAGTCTCAGCAGGTAAACTAAATCACTAAATACAGCGAACAAGATGCAGTTGTCGAGTAAGGCAGAATAATGAAATTGGTGGTATAACATCACGTCATAACCCTACCACTTAATTATATACATACATATATCGATAACACTTTCATATAATAGAAATCTTATAGTTTACGAGTTTTTTCAATTACCTTAAGTTGGTAATCTTTAATTTGCAAGAGTATATGAATAAATACTGCCAAACTGCAATTGTAAATTTTTATTTTATAAAATCGTGAATCAATACTCTAAAAATAATAAGCATATTAATATATCTAAAAATTATTGAAACTTCATTAGCGCTACTGCTGCTGCTATTGCTCCAATATAATTACATGTTTAAATATAATTTTTTAATTATTCTTAATAAGTAAAACTTGTTAATCTACGTACTTTTTCCTATCAGAGTATTTAACTAAAATCGCATTATTAATAATTTATAAAAAAAAATAAATTATGTTATAATTTATTTTAATTTATTTTATTTTTCATTTTGCATTACATTTCATTATCTTACCCGTAATACCTCCTACGTCTTCGATATCTACAACTTTATCAACTATCCACTTCCAATAACCAATTATCCCATCATCAACCAATAAAATTTTCGCCTATGAAATAAAATGCGGGTAGGACGTTGGTCACGAAGTGCAGAATACCACAACTGAAAGTACAGCATAATCCACCGGTTAGGTGACAATAATGCGATTCTACACCGAACAACCAACAAATCAAACAACAACAATTGCAACAGGAGTGGAATAGAAATAAAAAAAAAAACAGCTTATTAAAGAAAAAAACCAAATTAATTTTGTTTTATAAAGAAAAATGTATGTGGTAGAACGCATTACACAATACTAATCAAAAAAGAAAACTCTAGAAGCGAAATGTTAGTCCGCATGTACTATTAGCAATTTTTTTGTTTTTTTTTTGCTATACACATCAGTTATAATACAACATATGAGATGTCTTCACGATTAAGGATATTTTATATATATTCGTGAACTAATTAGGCTGATGATAAAAACTGTTAAATTTGATCCCTCTTTGGTTCTATATATTATTTTTTATAGGTATCTGTAAAATGTACATATGATTGTCATATTTGTCCATTATTATTATATTATATTATATATAAAATATTTATTTAATAAAACGTGTGCCTAATTTTAAATTTGATTTTCATTAAGCAATTTTTACCTCAAATTATCCTTCCTTAAAACGTTTTGACATTCAATACAATTATTATATAGGCAACAAATAGTTTTAACAAACGATATTCCAGCCGACATGTCCTCAAAGTACGTTCTTAAGCAAAATCTGCATAAAGTTACTTTAATTTTTCGTTCATTTAAATTTTTCCACAGATATCTGTGCTAATATTAATTTTCAATAAGGCTCGTTTTATTAAATTATATAAATTTTAATTTGTGCTCATTACTTTTTTAATTTACAAAATATTGTTATACATTTTAATGTGCTTACCACAGATTAAACCCAACTAACTATTGAGGCAAATACACAAAAATGTAATATATTGATTTGATTGGTATAACAATATTATGATCACATATTTTGGAAAAATTTTCATCTTCAAATGGGTTAGTAAATCGTAACTTTACAAATTTCGCATTGCTCTTACATACTCGTAAAACATAATTAAATACTAAATGTCCAAAAGAAGCATATAAACGCATACATATGTAATTCATTTGTTTTTGGAAAAAATAAAATAAAAAAATTGCAAAACCCTAAATAAATCTTATTAGAAACATATTTTTAAATGGTATTTTTATTATGACAATTTCAATAGAAAATTTGATGAGAGTGTACATAATTTAACTTTTATATATAAAAACCTTTGCTTCTGAAAATTAATATGTATGTTAGGGTGTCCGTTATTTCCAAGTTGATTTTTTTATACAAACGCCCCTTTTTGCCTAAAAAATAAGGACTCAATGTAAACGAGGTGTATATTTTCAATTTAAACATTTGTAATACAATATTTCCAGCTATTAATGGGACTAATTTAACGTTAAAATTTGATCCGTGACGCGAGTTATTAAGGGTTCAAGTACGTTATTCTTCAGTTTTGAACCCCAGAGATTTGTTAGAGTATCTCGAGCAATATTTACTTCGTTCCCTAGGAAAATAATTTCAAAATCAAATATATCTCTAAATAGAATATATATTTAATTACCAACTGTTGACGGTATAACCAAAGTTAGGTAGATAACTATATTTTCAGCAACCGGACTATGTGTATCACATATAGTGTGCAAAGCAGGAGCTGCTTCTGCGGGAATCTGTCGAAATTTAAAATAACATATTTTTTTATAATTCAAACCATTTATAAACTATCTTACGGCATTCAAGTTAATGATAAGAGCAACGCGCCCTTTTTGAATTTTTTCTTTAAACTTTAATATAGCATATCCGTAGTCTTCCATTGCTCTCGGGGATGTGAAATCTAATTCGCTCATCTCAATTAACTGACCACCTTAAATTCGACCATCTTTTATTAGCATGTACTTATTGGTTAGAATATAAAACTTACCAAAACATTGGGAAGTCTCTTTAGCAATTTCCCCAACTATGCTTTTCAATTTCCTGTTATCATTGTGTACAAAAAGATTTACAAAGGGACTTTTTGTGCGGTCTCTTAAAATATTTTCAACACCACTAGATAGAGTATGCCATATTTTGGAATGCTGGTTTTTATACTTTTGGTGCAGCATTTCAAATGAACATGTCTTTTCTTTATTACTTACACATATGACGGCAACTAATAAAACTACCAATAACAAGGCTATCCATAAACATTTGGTAGATGGTTTATCAACATAATCTTTTTCCTTTATGCCTTTGAAACTTTCCGGAACCAATTTTGATAATAGCTCATTGCTTGTGTTTGAACTATCATCATGTTCTTCTTCAACTGTATACATTTGCCCATCGATATCTTCCGAATCATTAAACTCATCTGAATTATTTGGGTGAATTGACCTTCTATACGTAATTCCTAGAGAGTTTACTTGAGATGACATAATTTATGTCTATTTAATAATTAGTACACAAATATAATAGGAAAATTGTTGAAAACTGGCAAAAACAATATAGACCTATTCTCATACAACTCTTATAGCAGAACCATTCTCAAAACCATGGTAAAAGAGAGTAGAGAAAGTCCCATTCACCGTAGAAAAAGAGCCATTCACAGTCCTTAACCTACCCCCCAAGTGTACGTTCACAATAAAAGCATCAATGCCACCTCTGGTGAATACGGGTGGCGAGAGGTTAAAACGGGCTGCGTAAAGCAAAAATGCTTTAATATTAAATTATAAATTTACAGTAGTATATTTATTCATTTATAAATACTATTTTAAATTTTGCTTATAGAATGAAATTTACTGCTGTTATCAAAAGATTTAATTATATCTTCTTGATATAAATAAATATGCTATATATTTTTAAGCGTTTTAGTTAACTTATTTATGAACAAATTGGAAATTATTTTTGATAATGAGTGGACCAAAAGAGATAACTATTGTCATAAAATTTGGTATTACATATCATACTAATTCGTCTAAATAGTAAAACGCAATTTTAATGTAAGATAAATCAAGAGATAATTATAATAGCCATGTTTCTTATATTTAAAGTATACATTTTAGTAATCACAAACTACTTACACTTTTTATGTCTCAGAATTTAGCTATACGCCGGCWATCAGGAATTATACTAGTTCCCAAATGGAGTGTTTGACTATTCTAACAGATTTACCATATTATTTTTTAGTTCTAATCTAATTTTATAAATAAAAAGGATTCTTAAAGGAATTGTTTTTTTTAATATATGTATATAGTACTAAAAAGAAGTTTAAATTAGCATGACAAAATAGTGTTGCGTAACTATGTAAAGACGTAACTATTTTGTCATGCTCAATAGCAATACTGACATAATATTTAAACAAATGATGAAATGTAGATGCAAATGTTTCTTTTCAAATCGCTGCTTGGCCACCAACGCCACCAACTTTTATTTGATGAGTGTTGTTTATTATTTGCTTGGCTGTTGTTGTTAGCGTTGTTGCCATTATAGTAGTTTTGTGCAAACATACGTAGTAGCTCTTCCCGATGTTCTATCGGTTTTGGTGGAGCTGGTTCCTCCCACTCT